ATCCCATCAAACTGATAGTTAGAGTATTGTGTTATGCCAGGAAACACAAGTATCCTGAGAATCGTAGTGCTCTGACCTACTGGGAGGAAGAGGCTCCTTCAAGACTAGACCTGGGTAAGGATAAATATGGTGGACCATTCACAGAGGAAGAGGTAGAAGATGTGAAGACATTCTTTCGTATGTTACCATTATTCACTCCTATGCTTGGGTTTGGGTTTGTTTTAGTTCTTCCCAGTAGCGATTGCTCCAATATGACTTTAGTCAACTGTGTAATGCTTATATACACTGATGCTTTTCATATCACAGTCCTACTCCTATTCTTCATTTATCAGTTCATCATTCGTGGTTGCTTCCACAAGTATATACCCAGTATGCTTACTAGAATGGGTGCTGGAATCCTCTTTGGTTTATGCTGTTGCATAAGTCAGTTATTAGTTCAACAGTTGACTTCATATGAGCTACTATTAATAACTGAGCAGGTTCTACTTGGAATATCATTGTTTCTTATTTATCCTACTTCCCTTGAGTTTACAGTAGCACAGTCTCCTCAACACATGAGAGGAATGATGGTTGGATTCTGCTACACCTCATTGGGAATTGGGTCTCTCCTTGCATTAGTACTGTTAGACTTTTTAAGTAAAAGACATTATGTTTACTATCTCCCAACAAAGTGTTGCATACTATTACTTATACTGATAGTGTTTGTGATACTGGCCAAACGTTACAAGTATCGTGTGAGAGAGAATGAAGTTAATATTGTTAAGATAGTTGATGATCATTATCAGAGATACATGGAACAAAAAGATGAATATGAGAAAGAACAAGATTATGAAATATACTTTGAGGACTGACTGGTATGATGTAAAGTTTATAATTATTGTATTGATTATTTCTTGAAAAAGGATGTTGTTGAATGAGCTGTTTTTTTATTGGTATATACATGTATACCTATCAATATATATTTTTGCTAGATCTAAAGATTTTGTATTGCTTTTTGTTGCAAAATAATATACAAATTTTAGTGTAGTGGTTTCTTCATTTTTATTTCCATCGCTTTTAATTGTTTTGTATCTATTAACTTTTTTCCTCTTTAGTGATACTCTTACATCTTCAATTCAGATGTGATACAATTTTTGCATCAATAACAGTCTAATTTGAATATGACCAAGAGTTTTGTGACTATAATAGTCACATCATAGTATAGTAGAACTCTACCCTTTGGGCAGTTATTCATTCCATATAAGGGCATCATGTTGGGTGTTACTGATAACATATCAGATTATCTAAACTCTGAGACTCTACAAAATGAAGGAGGAGACAGTAATGGCTCTGTCAAGGGCTAGAGTGTGTGTTAATTGCTCCTATAGCATCTTTCTTCTGCTATTAGTTTTAGATTGTCTTTAAACTTTTTATATTAAGAATGATAAAATTTAACAATTCATATCTTTGCTACAAATTATTTATTACAATAACTGCACTCATAAGTCTCGTATAAACAATTAATAACATTAGGTACTTATACTAGGGAGTAGGAAGCTAGAGATGGACTGACTCACTGCAATACAGTCATTTATGATTAGCCATGCAATCAGCATAACAATAATTTATCATTGTTTGATAGCCTCAGTTGTTAAATTGTCATTGTCTGAATTGTAAATTGTAATTGCCTCAATAGTAAACTGTGTTAATGTTGCCTATGTAGATTCAATAGGCACAAAGACATAAGGACTTAATTTTTTATAGTCTACAGTAACACAATGGCTTTATCAAGGATTAAAGTGCTAGTAGTTCCTGTAACATCTTTCCCTGCTATTATGGTGCTTGTCTGGAATCACCTTATGAATCTTCAACTGTGCCTTCAGTTTCATTTGTATGATATTGTTCTCTTTAAAAGTTCTTCCATTATTTTATCCATTTACATTTGCTGCTATGTCTTATACATCTTCCTTGGATTATTAAGTGATGTATATATAGGAAGATACAGAGCAATAATGATTGGTACTATACTCTGCTTCATATCATGGATTGTAACTGGAGCTGCATTTGCATTCAACTATCATGGTTTCATACTGTGGATTGTCTCTGCCTTTTTTCAATATGCTGGTTATGTAAGTTTTCTCACAAATGTCATTCAATATAACATTGATCAGTTAATTGGAGCATCAGCTAATGAACTGAGTACTATTATATACTGGAATATTGCTGCTCTACCAGTTGGATTCGTTCTAAGTGATTGGTTATTACTACTTAACTATGAACTTTGTAATGTCATAGCATCAGGAGTAGCACTGTCTCTTATACTGGTGTCTCATTCATTATTTAAACACAAACTGGAGAATATATCACTGATCAAGAATCCCATCAAACTGATAGTTAGAGTATTATGTTATGCCAGGAAGCACAAGTATCCTGAGAATCGTAGTGCTCTGACCTACTGGGAGGAAGAGGCTCCTTCAAGACTAGACCTGGGTAAGGATAAATATGGTGGACCATTCACAGAGGAAGAGGTAGAAGATGTGAAGACATTCCTTCGTATGCTACCATTACTAATTACTACATTTGAGTTCACTTCTCTTCTTTATCTACGGCATTCTCATAGTGACAGTAATAAATCCTCAGTACATCGCATAATGTTTGACCATTACGGTACATATCACATTACTCTTCTACTCCTATTCTTCATTTATCAGTTCATCATTCGTGGTTGCTTCCACAAGTATATACCCAGTATGCTTACTAGAATGGGTGCCGGACTCCTCTTTGCTTTACTTGGATGCATAACTGAAGTATTAGCTCAAAAGTTTTTGTCATATGATTTTTTGTTACTAATTGAGCAGGTATTAATTGGAATATCATGTTTTCTTATTCTTCCTACTGCCATTGAGTTTACAGTAGCACAGTCTCCAGGACACATGAGAGGAATGATGGTTGGACTCTGTTATACTTTATTGGGAATTGGATCTCTCATTTCAGTAATACTTTCAATTTTCATTAAAGCATGGTACTATTACATAATAGTGTGTGTCCTCCAGTTGCTTATACTGATAGTGTTTGTGATACTGGCTAGACGCTACAAGTATCGTGTGAGAGAGAATGAAATTAATATCGTTCAGATAGTTGATGATCATTATCAGAGATACATGGAACAACAAGATGAATATGAGAGAGATCAGGAAAGGAAATAATAACTGAAGATTAATTGGAATTTAAGAATGCAAACGTATAATTTAAACTTTAGAGTGTTCTGTCACTAATAGACTCTTTATGTTAATTACTATAGTCTACTATCCTTTACATGTAGATTGTCTTCAACTTCTTAAATAAAATGTGAAATCAATATTATTATTACTTTATTACCTGTACTTCATTATTACTAATAAAACATTTTACTAAAAGAGATTACTAATGCCAACTGGTCCTGTTTGAAGTCCAAATGTTCATGTACATGTATTAGTAAGAGTACATTGTATGTGAGTTCATAAAGTATAATTAATGTAGAGTATCCAGTCTGATATGTTTACCATCCTTCATCATCAAACAGGTCAACTCTATGACTTTTATACGTATCTCTGAAATCTTGTCCTAAGTGTGAAAGGTCTTCCTCGTTACGTAAAACACCCTAAAATTAGAAGGTTAATAATGTACAGCTGTTCTAATAATATGCATCATAAAGTACATGTACACATGTATCTTAAAAGTAGCCCTAACTCAAAAATTTTTAGTCTTAAA